GGCCGTGCAGCTCTGCCCCCCGTCCCCATGTGTCCCCATTGTCCACACGTGTCCCCATTGTGTCCCCATTGTGTCCCCATGTCCTCATTGTGTCCCCACTGTCCCCGTTGTCCCCAGCTGCAGCCTGGCCGTGCAGCTGTGCCGGGTCCGCGACACCGTCCTGCTCATCTCCACCGACCCGGCCCACAACATCTCGGACGCCTTCGACCAGAAGTTCTCCAAGGTGCCCACCAAGGTGCTGGGCTACGACAACCTCTTCGCCATGGTGGGTGCCCCGCGGCGTCCCCGGCGTCCCCGCGGTGCCCCCCACGTCCCCACTGCATCCCCACGGTGTCCCCTGTGTCCCCACGACGTCCCGCAGGAGATCGACCCCAGCCTGGGGGTGGCCGAGCTGCCCGACGAGTTCTTCGAGGAGGACAACGTGCTGAGCGTGGGCAAGAAGATGATGCAGGAGGCCATGAGCGCCTTCCCGGGCATCGACGAGGCCATGAGCTACGCCGAGGTCATGCGGTGAGCGCGGGGACACCATGGGGACACCGTGGGGACATGGGGACACCGTGGGGACATGGGGACACCGTGGGGACATGGGGACACAGATATATGGGGACACAGACGCATGGGGACACGGCCATGAGCGCCTTCCCGGGCATCGACGAGGCCATGAGCTACGCCGAGGTCATGCGGTGAGCGCGGGGACACCGTGGGGACACCGTGGGGACATGGGGACACCGTGGGGACATGGGGACACCGTGGCGACACTGCACTGTCCCCACGTCCCCACGGTGACGTCCCCGCGCTGTCCCCAGGCTCGTCAAGGGCATGAACTTCTCGGTGGTCGTGTTCGACACGGCGCCCACCGGCCACACGCTCCGGCTGCTCAACTTCCCGGCCATCGTGGAGCGCGGGCTGGGCCGGCTCATGCAGATCAAGAACCAGATCAGCCCCTTCATCTCCCAGGTGAGGGGACACCTGGGGACACYTGGGGACACACCTGGGGACACATGTGACGTGGGGGAACATGGGGGGACACATGTGACACGGGGGGCCATCATGGACTGGCTCTTGCAGATCAGCCCCTTCATCTGCCAGGTGAGTGGGGACAGAAGGGGACACGGGGACAGGGGCAGCAGAGGGGCCTCATGGGCGGCGGGATGGGGACACCGCGTGACACAGGTGTCCCCACACACGTGTCCCCCCGACGCAAAGGGGACGTCGTGGCTGCCCACGTGGCTCTTGTGCAGGTGAGGTTGGGTGGGGACAGCAGGGGACACTGCAGTCCCCACGTGGTCCCCACGCTGTCCCTGCTCCCGGCCCCACACGGTCCCCACGTGGTCCCTGCTCCCGGCCCCACATTGTCCCCACGTGGTCCCCGCGCTGTCCCTGCTCCCGGCCCCACACGGTCCCCACGCTGTCCCTGCTCCCGGCCCCACATTGTCCCCATGTGGTCCCCGCGCTGTCCCTGCTCCCGGCCCCACACGGTCCCCACGCTGTCCCCATGTTATCCTAATGCTGTCCCTGTCCCCGTGTTGTCCCCCATACTGTCCCCATCTCCACACTCGTTGTCCCCACGCTGTCCCCACGCTGTCCCCGCGCTGTCCCCACGTTGTCCCCGCGCTGTCCCCAGATGTGCGCCATGCTGGGGCTGGGGGACATGAACGCCGACCAGTTGGCRTCGCGGCTGGAGGAGACGCTGCCCGTGATCCGCTCCGTGAGCGACCAGTTCAAGGACCCGGTGAGCGACACGGCGGGGACAGGACACAGGGACACATGGGGTGATGGGGACACTGGGACACGGGGGTGATGGGGACACGGTGACATGGGGACAGGGATGACAGGGACACCGGGACATGGGGGACACCGGGGTGACAGGGACACCAGGACACAAGGACATGGGGGTGACAGGGCACAGGGACCCATGGGGTGATGGGGACACTGGGACAGGGGGATGACAGGGACATGGGGGTGATGGGGACAAGGGGGAGACAGGAGGGTGATGGGGATACGGAGGTGGTGGGGACACAGGGACACTGGGGGTGAGAGGGACAACAGAGGGGTGGCAGGAACACGGGAACACTGGGACATGGGAGCAATGGGGCCACTGCGGGGTGAGGGGGACATTGGCGGGTGACAGGGACACTGGGAGGGGACAGGGACAGCGGGAGGGATGACAGGGACACCGGCACTCAGTGGGGACAGTCCCGGGGCAGCCGGCCGCGTGGGCCCCGCGCGGCGCCGGTGACGATGACGGTGACGGGGACAGGAGCAGACGACGTTCATCTGCGTGTGCATCGCGGAGTTCCTGTCGCTCTACGAGACGGAGCGGCTCATCCAGGAGCTGGCCAAGTGCCGCATCGACACGCACAACATCGTGGTCAACCAGCTGGTGTTCCCGGCCGCGCGGCCGCCCTGCCGCATGTGCGAGGCGCGCCACCGCATCCAGGCCAAGTACCTGGACCAGGTACAGCCGGGGGGGCGCAGACACCCCGGGGGTCCTGTGTGGGGAGGGGGCGCCCGCCCGGACACCGGGGTCCTGGGGGTGTCGGGGGGGGCACCCCAATGCTGGGGCCGTGTGCGGGGGGGCACCTGCACATCGTGTGGGGAGGGGGCACCCGCACATCGGGGTGCTGAGGGGGGGGGTCTCCCAGACGCTGGGGCCTCTGGGTGTCGGGGTCCCTGGGGGAATGGGGGGGTCTCCTGGATGCTGGGGCCCTGCACGGGGGCCAGGGGGGCTCTCCCAGACATTGGGGGCCACGTATGGGATGTGGGGGGCCCTCCCGGGCGCCTGGGCCCACACGGGGGGCTGTGGGGGCCCTCCCGGACGCCTGGGCCCGCAGATGGAGGACCTCTACGAGGACTTCCACATCGTGAAGCTGCCGCTGCTGCCGCACGAGGTGCGCGGGGCCGAGCGCGTCAACACCTTCTCGGGGCTGCTGCTCGAGCCCTACCAGCCGCCCAGCCCCGAGTAGCCCCCCCGCGCCCCCCCGGGGCCTGGTGTCCCCGTGGGACCCCCCCGCAAAGGGGGGGGGAGGCGGAGACCCCCACCCGTGTCCCTGGTGTCCCCATGTCCCCTCCTTCAGGTTGGGGGGGGCCACCAGGACACCCCCCCAACCACCCCCTTCTGTCTTCCCCCCCTCCTCCTTCCAGGCCGCGGGGGGAGGGGGGGGCAGGAAGACCCCCCCCTCCCCCCCCCAGGGGCCTCATTGTGTAAATAATGATGAAATAAACTCGGAAACAGAGAGCGGCTGTTGGGGGGGCGACCCCTCCCCATAGGTGCCTATAGATCCCTTCCCCGCCCCCCCCGGCCGGTCCCTATAGTCACCAGCGACCCCCAAGGTGCCCCCCCCAAGGAAGAGGCAGGAATAAAAGCAGCGTTTGTCACTTTAATGGGGGGGGGGAGCTGCGGGTTCCCCCCCCCCCCGAACCCCCCAGAGGGTGGGAAATAAATAAGGGAGGGGAGGGGCACCCCTGGGGGGGGGTCGAGGGGCGGCTCCTGGTGGGGCCCCTGGGGACACTGGTGACCCCGGGGGGGGTCAGGACTCGCCCTGGGGGGGCAGGGGACACCAGGAGCCCCATGGGGCCCCCCCAGGGTGTCCCCAAGGGCCCCGTGCCACCGGTGCCACCTCCTCGCGGTGACGTCGCCGCCGGGGCCACCTCAGGTGCCGCCGGTGACACCGCGGGGCCGGGGGGGTCGGGGGGGCCGCTCGGGCGCCACGCGGGACACCCGGCACCTGGGGACAGGGGACAGCGTCGGACACCGTGGGGACACCCCTGGGACACCCGTGGGGACACCCGTGGGGACACCTGGGGGACACCCCTGGGGACACCCCCGGGACACCCCTGGGGACACCCCTGGGACACCCGTGGGGACACCTGGGAGACACCCCCGGGACACCCCTGGGACACCCCTGGGGACACCCATGGGGACACCTGGGGGACACCCCTGGGAACACCCCTGGGGACACCCCTGGGGCCAGCCCCACGTGCCCCCCTGGGGGTGGCCCTGTCACCCGGACGGTGACCGAGGGGGGGCCCCAACAGGCCCCGTGTCACCGGGGGGCTGTCACCCCCGCCGGCCCAGCCACCCACCAGGACCTGCCCGAGACCCCCAGAGCCCCCAGCCCAACCGGGGGGGAGACACCATGTGCCAGAGGTGACACCCGTGTCCCCAAGGCCCCTTCCCCACCTCCTGTCCCCAACGCTCCCCAAACCGCCCTCCTGGGGGGGGGGTCTCGTGTCCCCAACACCCCCAACCCCCACCATGTCCCCAAAGCCCCCCCCGTGTCCCCAACCCCCCCGTGTCCCCAACACCCCGTCCCTGGCCCTGCCAGTGTCCCCAAAGCCTCGTCCCCAATCCCGCCGTGTCCCCAATGTCTCCTCCTTCTGTCCCCAACCCCCCTCGTGTCCCCAACGCCCCCCCCGGTCCCCAGCCCCCCCTCACCGTGGGGGGGTCTCCCGGGCGGCCTCGCGGTGGCTCCGGCGCTTGGGGACGCAGGGGGGGCCTGTGGGGACACAGGGGGGACACCAGGGGTGACACCAGGGG